GTGAGTAACGGCCCTTAGGGCCACTGCACGTATTCCTGAGAAAACGAAAACTTGAAAACAAAAGAAATAGTGACCCATAACCGAGAATCCGAGATGCACATCCCTGAATTCGAACCCAGGGTATATATTCTCTGCTCACGCTGGTTACTGGAAGTTTGAAGTTCGCCTCAGCTGCATGTAGGGTCCTAGCTAATTCGCTATACGGGCCCTTCGAAAAAGAGGCTGGACACAATTAGGAAATGAACACTCGCATGTATAGACGAGTGCCAACTGTTTCGGGGTATCGCATCGCCCGAACTTTTTTCCCTCTGGCTTTCTAATTTTTAGAAGTGAGGGGAGTGCTTGGCCACCCCACTCTGAACTTTCTTTTCTTTTTTTTTTCTTTTTTTTTTTGATGCGCCGCATCACGCGCGGCACAGCTCATGCGCGTGCGCTTTGCGCCGCATGTGCCGCGCCCCCGCGCATGAGATGCGCCGCAAGTATGGTTCCTTCTGTGTGTGTGCCTTGTGCGCTGCACTCCACCGAGCAGGAGGTCGAGCTTCCCAAAAAAAAAAACAAAAAAAAAGTGTGCTGCTTATGTGTTCCTTCTGTATGTGGGCCTTGTGTGTGCTGCATTCCACCGAGCAGGAGGTCTGGCTTCCCCCCCCCCCAAAAAAAAAAACAAAAAAAACTGCTGCTTATGTGTTCCTTGTGTGTGTGTGCCTTGTGTGTGCTGCACTCCACCAAGCAGGAGGTCGGGCTTCCCAGCAGGCTAGCAGAGATTACAAAGGTCCGTAACTTTCCATTTGTTTGATCGATGAGTGTGTGGAGTCTTGCTGCTTGTCGGCTGTTATCATTTTCTCGTTATTTATTTATTTTTTTACTTTTTTTAAGTCGCTAAAATGCAATTGCCCCTGAAGTTAAACTTTTACCAAAAAAACACGAAAAAAAAGAATGAGGTGGCCTCCGCGCATGGTCTCTCTTCAAGATGTCAGCTCATTCTGTGTATAGAAAAGACCGAAGAGAGGTTCTTTTGGGGTTTTAAGTTTTGACTTTTTAAATTAAATTATTTTGAAAATTTTGAAACTCAGAGTCTTGTCCGCAGCCTACTGTCCACTTTTTATTTTGACTAATTTGATTTTTTTTTTTTTTTTTTTAATGTTTTAGGTGAGGTGGTGTCTGCTGAATGATCCCCGTCCTAGACGTCTGGCACAGCTGGGAGCACAGATCTGAAATCGTTTTTGTCCTTTCTGCTGAAATCTGGATACGTTTCTGAACTTTTTGTCCTTTCTGCAGATCTTTCTGGGTTGGATTGGACCCTTTTTTTTAATATAGATTTTATGAAATTTTATCCTTTCGGTAGATCATTCGGGGTTTAGTTATGTCATTTGTGCTGAAATCTGGATGAACCAACGGGCCTCGCTCAGCTGGTACGCTGATGAACTTTTGAAAGACAGACCTGGTTTATTTTCGACTCCAGATTTCTGCAACCAGGTGCATAGAATAAAAGTTATAAAACAATTCTGAATTACCTTGGGCCTGGATTACATCTTACCTGAGTTCAAAAAGTAACTCATCTGGTTGCAGAAATCTGGATTTGAACTCAGGTCTGACTTTCAACAGTTCAACAGTTAAGTGATGATATGATATCTCAAGGCCGGCGCCCTGTTTTAAGAAAAAGAGGAGAAGAGAAAAACAAGAAAAAAAGAGAAGAGGGAAATCTGGATTCTGGATGCATTGGTGATCCTTCTTCTCCAGAAAGAAATCTTTTTTTGCCTGCTGATCTGCTGAAGGCATGGGCCCAATGTGTCTTGTTTGATGCTGTGCAAGGGGGGTGCAGAAGTCGATCTTGCGGAATGAACCTGTGGAAGAGGGTTTGCGGCCTTGGTGGCGACCAAAGAAATCGCAGACTCCTGCGAAGCTAAAGAAGATGCCGGCTGCTGAGGACGGGACTCTTGTCAATGTAAATGAGGCTGAGAGTGGCCAGAGAAAACCTTTGCTGCGGTTTCTGCTCCCTCCAAAATGTGAGTGCTGTGGAGAGGGTTCTCTCCCACCATCTGCTTACCGTCTTCGCCCGAGTAGAACGTGCCTGCCTGGTCGTTGTAGCTGTGTATTTGGTGCAACTTTGAGACTGGATACAGTGATAACGACCGGGCTTTCTATTCGGGCGAAATCGGTACGGAACTGAAGGGAAGGGGATTGGCTAAAATTGCAGGTTTTTTTTTGTTTTGTTTTTTTTTGCCCTCAAAAAAATGATCCTTCCGCCGGGGACCATGCTAGTCTTTTCTCTTTATTGTTCCAATTTTAACAGATCTCCCGGTGGACAAATTGCAGTGTTCTTTAATTCTTTCCATCCCTGTGTTATGATCCTGGTCCATTTTAAATACACATTCATGAGAAAGTACAATGACGTCCAATTGCAAAAAGAAATGAATGAACTTGAGAGAAGAGGGAGGGAAAAAAGAAGAAGAAGAAGAAGAAAGAAAGAAAGAAAGAAAGAAAGAAAGAAAGAAAGAAGAAGGTGATGATGTACACCAGTGTAGACCAATGAGAATGCTCTTCTTTTTCGTCAACCACTCTCCTCCTCCTTATCCCCTCCCCTCTTATTCAAACAAGAAATAATAATAATAATAATGTTGAGTGGCTGAACCAGAATCAATGTCCGAATCCCTCTTCTACTGCAGGTATCATATGAGGTCCACCATAGCCATGGCCACCCTTCTTCCTCCTTCCTCCAAGTCCGAGGCTATGGCGGACTACCAGGGCATCGCCCGGCTGTGCAAAGGACAACACAAAGCAGCTATGGCTGCTCTAGCTCAGGCCACCATGCCTGACTCTGCCTCGAAGCTTCTTGGTGTAGCTCTACCAAAAGTGGGGCCTTCCAGATGCAGCGCCCACCAAGGTGAAGAAGATGGCATCCACCATAGCCAGGTAAACACCTCTGGGGCTCTCCCTCTTCCCCGTTCTTGTCCTCCTTTCTCAGTCCTAGCTCCTTCCCCAGCAGCACTGCACTGAGTGCTAGCGCTGCTCCAGCCGGCGCTCCAACCAGCTTGTCGCCAAACTTGCACACCGGCAATGAGGAGGAGCACTTTGCTCTTCCTGGAGATATATCGGCCTGCTTGCTTCTTGGCGAGTGACTTCCTCGGCCGCGCGGCCTCCAAGCAACCGGTACCTCCTCCCTTTCGGAGGGAAACATCATTGCAGACTCTGATATTGCCCCTACAGGCCCTAGACGCAGACTGGTTGGACTGGTACCCTCCTAGACCTAGCCTACAACTACTGGGCGGCCTCTAAAATGCCAACTTTTGTCTTCTTCTGCTCGGCCTCGAGCACCCGGCACATCTACCTCTACCTGGTGTGGTACCGGCCTACCTGCTACTTGAGTGTTTTCCGCTGCTCTATAAGTGTCGCGGGCCTCTTTCCCCACCACTTGAGTGTTTTCCCGGCGGAAACCCTCAATGTCACGGCCACAGGTAAGTACCGGCCCTTCGGGCCTTCTGAATGAACAAGTGCCCTTGCGGATCACACACACACACTCAAGCGGACAAGCACTCAGACAGCCATGCAGACCAGCAAGCACGCACACTCACAGACTTAGAGAACTCGGCAATCAGGCGAGAAACTCAGCAAGGCATACATTCCATGAGCAAAACTCAGAAATCAGCTGTGTGTCTCAGTCCGTGTTTGGCAGGTCATTACACCTGTGCTTTTTTTGCGCGTTCATAGTGAGTAAGGACAGGGTATCCTTTGTGACATGCGTTGAAATTGGAACGATACAGAGCAACAAGATTAGCATGGCCCCTGTGCAAGGACGACACTCATAAATCGAGAAATAGCCCAAACTTAAGAAAAAGAGGATTGGTCATCTTGAATTTTTTTTTTCAATTTTTTTGTGACTTAACTTCTTTAACCCATGCATTGGCTGATTTATGTTCGCTGGAGTGGACTGGTGCTGTGTTTATTGTTTTTTTTTTTTAATGGTATAGCAGGGTTGCACCCGCCGAAGGTCGGTGGCACTTGACTGGTCGGCACCTACCGGTCGGGGGGTCGTCGGCACCCCGCCCCCAAAAAACAAAAAAGAGGTCCAGAACCCCTAATAACAGCACCAACACCCCTATAGCGGCCCCCAACACCCCCATACACCCCCCCAACACCCCCAAACCGCCCCCAACACCCTCATTACCCCCCCCGCAA